ATTGCTAGTCTTCATCTGACGAAGAATTTGTCACGTCAAGACCATGAACTGCCCTCCAGCTTCTTAATGCTTTCTGGTGCTCTCGTGCAGCACTTTGGGCCGCATCAAGAACGGCGGGGATTGCTTCGAGTAAGCTGTCCAGTTTTTTACTTGACTTTGAGCTTTCCTTGAGAGGTCTTTTCCTGAAAGGATAATAGCAAAATAAACGAGGTTTTATTATCAAATAGGTATGAGAAACGTTCAAAGTAATTATGTCTGCTTATAAATTACCTGTCTTCCATCCTCTCGCTTTCTCTTGTTTTCTTGATTCGTGTAAGGATGTCAGCAGGGTTCGTTCTTTTCTGCATCTAACACATACTTTGTTTCGCGGTCATTGATAGCTCTGCAAATATCTTCGACTTCTTCAGTATCTTTATTACAAGTTTCTTCCTCACTGGATGCGGACGAGTATTCTTCTTCAATTATTTTATTTGACGTGCTTGCTTCACTGGCATTCCTACCAGGAAATAAAAGAATCATCACACTCCATATAATACCGTTATGTAGAGTCTTTTCTTCTTTGGTCAACAGCATTCTTACCTTGRAGGAAGAGMGTTGTTAAGCAGTTTATTAGCTCTCTTCCTTAATCGCTCCTGCAACACTTTGTTGGAATTTCCTTCAGCCAAATATTGATCACCTGCTTCTCCCAAAACCTCAACATGCCTTCTCATAAAACTCAAAACACTTTTCCACTCTCTTCCACATGTTTGCACAGCTTGAAGAAGAAGAGTATCTTCGACTTGAGTGTAGTTTTTCCTTGGTTTTCTTTGCTTGTTGCTGTCCATCGCGCCTTTCTCACAGGATTAAGAAAAGTGAAAAGAGCCCTAAAAATTCGCATACATAGGCACGTGCACACGTGCACTGGCCGTAATGTTTTTTTTAAATATTTTTGTTTGGTTTCGTGATTGCGAACGAAAACGTTGCATATAYGTTTAATACACTATCTGTTCGCGTCARKCAACAATGGATGTCCCACCTTTCCCAATGTTTATTGTAGTAACCCTGCTGTCTATCTTTGCAGCTATAAAATTGAGTCTTCAAAGACCAAAACGTTTGGCCCCTTTATTTCCTATGCATTTAATAGGGAACCTGCTCATCACACTCGTTGCGCTTGTCTCTACGGTACCAACGGGAGCTAATCTCCTAGCCCGACTTTTTGGCAATCAGCCGCGGAGTCATACAGACGACTTCCTGCTATAGGCCATGGAAGAAGAAGGAATCTAYCACGACGAGCAAAGGCTGCTAGCTGATGGGGGATACGCTAACGCACCACCTCTTATCACTCCAAGGCGTATTGCTTACATTAGACGACAACAGAATGCCAACAGAGCGCTAAGGTCGCTTCGTATCCGCGTAGAGCACGCCATTGGATTCCTGAAAATTTACTCAGCGACCTCGGATATTTTTCGACACATGAGGCCATTTCAACCCTTTGTAATAGCAACTTGTGGTGCTCTTGCTAATCGAAGGAAAAGAATTCTAAAAACACTGTAATGTTATATATGTTCTTTTTGATATCCTTTTCGGAAAAGTAAAACAAACTGGCTTAACACATGTTTATATTAGTGAGAGCAGAAAAATYCCTAGCTTAATACTGTAAACAAATCTCAAGATATGTTGATACTACTAGCGTTTACTAGTCAGTTGTGACTGTTTTGGTGCGTTGAATACAAATGGTGTATAAGAAAGTTCATAAATATATGACGTTTGGGACATTAGTTCTTCGTAAGAAGAGGATTGACTATTAAGGACCATAGTAGTAAGACGAAGGAGTAACGTCAGTAACAATAGTTACAAACTTTCTTTCRCAGTTGTTATTTATCTAATAATACATTGTACTAGCTGAGAAAACAGTAAGATAAGGAGTTTTGAAAATTCTATTGGTTAAATCTGGAATAAAATAATGATAGCTCTTTTTAATTTATGCTATTCCGGTCGGATTAAAGAATGCGGAATATACTTTCCCTATGCCGCTAAATYGGAAATGTCTATTTTGAGACGATCAAAATGGCGCGGGATGGCGTTTTTCATCCATGGAGAAGCTATTGTATTCAGAAAATCTATTGTAAAAGGCTTATTTTCGTTCCATGTATCGCATTAAGTGTGATTCATTGTATTTTCTTTTAATTTTTTATTAATTTTGAGTTGGTGATCAGGGATAACTTTTTTTAGCGTAGCTTCATGCCGATAGACACGCGCATTTTGAGGGGCACTGCTAAACAGCGAAACACCGAAACGAAACACCRGAACGAAACACCGGAACGAAACAGAGACAAATTCGTGATATTACAAATATCATGCAATAAAAAATCAAAAAAATCAAAATACACGATAGTACAATGATATAAAAGCGATAAAGCTTACCTTTATGCCTGTGCTTTATGATCTTTGATCCGTATCGATCGTTTATTGCCTTTTATTAACCATGTCTTTTCGCTGGCTATCAATCCAATTATTTCTCGAATTTGAAGGATTCCAATGGTTCTTTTAATAAACCAAGCATTAGTCTTAACTGCTTCTGTCTCTAGTGTCTACACCAAAAAAATTGTGAAAAAAGCTAAAGTGAGGGGCGACGCCATGTTTATTCAAACAAAAGCACAGGAAGCCCACCTCTTGACAAACCAAATAAAGGAATCTGTCATAAAATATCGTTTCCTAAACTGCAGGTGGTGATTATTAGTGTTTTAAATAATGATAGACAAGAAGATGGAAAGCTTAAGGTTGTTTTCGCAAGTTACCATTACCTATAGCGACTCTGTACAATGGTAAAGAAAAAAAATGCTTATTGTAGTACTGTATCAGATTAGTAAGTAAAACGAGGTATATGGGTTCAATGATCGGCGTTATTTTGGGGCTCAGGGATCACATTTTAGCTAATTTTGGGCTCGGAGATCCGAGTTTCATTGTCTAAAAAGGTAGTTGGATCATGTACGAAACTTTTCGGATTTTTTTAGGCATTAGAGATGTGCCTTTTTAGGCCGGGATCCGAAATTGTTGGGTTTCCTTTGGGGCTTCCTGTGCTTTTGTTTGAATAAACATAGCGTCRCCCGAGAACTTTAGCTTTTTTTCACAATTTTTTTGGTGTAGATACTAGAGACAGAAGCAGTTAAGACTAATGCTTTTTTTTATTAAAAGAACCATTGGAATCCTTCAAATTCGAGAAATAATTGCATTGATAGCCAGCGAAAAGACATGGTTAATAAAAGGCAATGAACGATCGATACGGATCAAAGATCATAAAGCACAGGCATAAAGGTAAGCTTTATCGCTTTTATATCATTGTACTATCGTGTATTTTGATTTTTTTATATTTTTTATTGCATGATATTTGTAATATCACGAATTTGTCCCTGTTTCGTTCCGGTGTTTCGTTCCGGTGTTTCGTTTCGGTGTTTCGCTGTTTAGCAGTGCCCCATTTTGAGACGATCAAAATGGCGCGGGAATGGCGTTTTTCATCCATGGAGAACCTATTGTATTCAGAAAATCTATTGTAAAAGGCTTATTTTCGTTCCATGTATCGTATTAAGTGTGATTCATTGTATTTTCTTTTAATTTTTTATTAATTTTGAGTTGGCGATCAGGGATAACTTTTTTAGCGTAGTTTCGTGCCAACAGACACAATGTTGAGACGATCAAAATGGCGCCCTATTCATCGCTTTCAACAACGTGGTTTTTGCTGTCAAYCTTATTAAAAAAAATCCAATACAACAGCAATTTATCAAACTCAGTTTAGACACACATAAATCGAATTTAGAAACATTTAGAAATGTTAAAAATGTTTGATTTGGAGAACAAATTTTCATTTCTATAAAAATTTTCAGACCCGCAGTGTAAAGGTCAGAATCATGCGAAAAAAATCAAATTCGCACAACTTGGAAACAAAACGGTGAAATAATCTGAAATTTTCTAAACGCAATACCCAACAACAATAATGGACAAGAACTTTTAAACAAACGGTTTGAAATTTTTGTTAAAAGATGGAAGCCAATCATGACTGACTGGATCTTGATTTGATTGCGGTCGTACCTTGTAATGATTGCCCAAAACTAATCTAAAATGCCTTACAAATATTTTATAAAGCTTTACTACTGCTATAAGTTATATTTGTGTTATTGGTTTGACAATTCCCTTAAGAAATGAACTCCAGGTGACTGAACCATGCATTGCGGGTGATCGAACCATGATTCCAGGCGACTGAACTCATAAACGACTTCACTGTAATTCGTCTGCCCATTCGTAGCAATATTCAATCCTCATTACATACATTTGATATAAACTTTATTATATGTGAATTTAAACTTTATGATCTGTGCATTATAACCTTGAATTGAGTTTAAGCATTCTTTACATTTACATTTACCAGTTAGGTCTTTCGCTGAATACTGAGCATTTTAGATTTCTTATGATTGAATTTGAATTCTTATGTGTGAATTTGAACCCCAATTACTGAATTTAAACTGTGAATGAAAAGATTTAATGGAGTGCAGCTTTAAAAAACATCTTTCATTCAAACTTCCCTTATTTTAGCAAGTTGTTTCCTGGCTCAGTATCAGACATAGCTATTGTTGAAAAGTTTGGGTCATACGACACTTTAAGTCTGGAGATCTGATACTTGTGGACAAAATTTTTTTTGTTACAAGGTATTGTTCCCAATGGTGTGTTTGTTATTATCCCCCCATTTTTATGTAATGGGACATTCACCAAAAGTGAAATAAGGTTAACCAAAAGTATCGCACAAAGCAGAATTTAAGTTTAAAGAGCAAATGCAAGTGTGAAAGATTTTAAAATCCTGTCTTTTATTCCACTGACATAAGCTATTACAGTGAAAAGTTTTTTAATTATTTGCTGGATTGGTTAACTTACAAAACTCTCTCACCAAAGAAATTATATACACTGCAAACTTGGGATATGTTTTTTATGTCTTAGTGAATATGAATAGACTGTATTCAGAAGCTTGAATTATAACAATGAAAAAATACAACTACTTCATAAATGCTTGAAAATAACACGTTAAGTTTATACTCTTGACTCCTTACAATTCACTTCTAGCTTGATAATCTATTTACCGTTTAACAAGTGAATGCAGGCCAAGAATGTAGAATACATTTCACTTGGTTTCAAGAGTGAATGTCTGTAATGATCAGGTAAAATTTAAAATCTGCAGCAAACACTTGCATCCTGAGAAATGCTGTTTATAGTATCTGGTCATGTAAAAAAAAAGCCCTACACAAGATGAGATCTACCTCATTCTCTGCTCCAGAGAACAAGAATAATGAGCCTTGGTTTGAGAGATATCCCTCCAGCATTATGTATGTAAAATTAGTATTATGCTCCAAATACTTATTATTATTATTATTATTATTATTATTATTATTATTATTATTATTATTATTATTATTATTATTATTATTATTATTATTATTATTATTATTATTATTATTATTATTATTATAAACATGACAGTAAGGGAACAACCTGCAATTCATGCTTTCTGTCGAGACTATTGGAACCACAGAGTTCTCCAACTATCAACTTGAGTGAGCAACCAGCCTCCATTTGTAAAGAATTACTAAAACATACTTATAACTTATCAAGTTAGCATAAATACCTAACTGGCTAGCATCATGTTATTTCAAATGCAGAATGTCTTGTCTGTTATTAAATGAACGTAACTTTTAATAAAAAGTAACTTAAACCTATTATTTGTTTTATCGCTTCTCTTCTGAAAGATAGATATTTTTACACATTTCAATACGACAAATGAGGAAAGTATACTATACCAGTCAAGATTTAGGCCCCCTTTCTGCTGTGAGGTTTAGGTGTAAGATCTTACACTCTGTTGTTATGGCAACCTTCTTACAGCCTTACAACTTTACAGCCTTACAACCTTACAGCCTTACAACCTTACAGCCTTACAGCTACTGTTTTGAAATACTTTAAAAGGCTGTAAGGGCGTAAGGCTGTAAGGTTGTAAGGCTATAAGGCTGTAAGGTTGTAAGACTGTGAGGTTGTAAGGTTGTACGCACAGGGACTCCCATGCATGTCAAAACGATTCTGATTGATAAATAGTTCTAGTACAGATTTTTGCAAGTGTGTCATGACATGTGGGTTGTTATTGTCACACACCCTCAGCAAGAATGGCCGTAAGACCTTGCAGAGAAATCTTACACCCAAATGCAGACCCTAAACCGGGACACATTTGAAGTATACTCAAATGACCTTGAAAACACCCCTGTCTGTAATCATCGATAGGCTTTCTGTAGTGAACTGTTGCCAAGGTTATGACATAAATCAACACTAAATTTGTCAAAACAAGCTGAGAGATCTCTGGTTGCTTTACAAATCATTTACCAAGAGTGTTTTCCCTTTGTCCAAGTTTCGCCTATGCATAAGTTTTGTCTACTAAAGTTGGCCTATGTATCAAATGCATTGTAAAACCTATCTATGAAGGGTGAGACAAATATACTGTAAAAAAGGAAAAATAGTTCTTGTGTAAAGAATATAAGTTTTACATGAAAAGCAAGGCAAACAAAGTAAGGGAAACACTGAAAACGTTAGATACAAACAAGTAACTGGTAAGCGTAAAATGAGTGTGACTCTGTACTTGACACAGTAAGTATATAAAAAAGGTAAAACAAGGCGACTGCTGTTGAGTAAAGTAAGAGAAACGTTACAAATGAGTCAAGAACTTCTGAGATGCTAAAGAGTTGTGTAACAACAAAAGCGTAATGACTACTGTAGTCAAGTGAAAGCGATCAACTAAAAAAATGTATTATCCAATATTATGAACAATAAACATACAAAATATCGTCAAAAATAGAAAGTTTATTTTCAATGTTTTGGTCCTCCCATGGAATAGATAAAATATGACATTTATATTAAGTTTATTTACAAGTTATTGCTTCATTCTATCAATACGACAAGACTATAAAGTTTATTTTTATTCTACTCTATTAGTTTCTTGAAGGCCCATTGAGGGTGGAACAAGCTCTTAAAAGTTGTGTGACTGATTTCTCACTTCTCTGGTACTACTCCCACATGTCAAAAGTTTTTGCCTGGAGCTTATGATATTTTTTTCTTCGGAATTCTCTTGAGCTTACCATTACTTATCAACCTAATACTGAGTTCGCAGATTCTAGCTTCATTGTGCAGAAGCTTGACTAATTCGTAAAATTGAATGTGACATCTACTCCCGGCTCATTGGTTCAAGGCATGATGCCATCCTTTAAGGTCATTATTGATCCTGATTGGCTGTCCAAAGACACTCCAAGTCTTTGGTGGATGAACGGTCCACTACATCCATTGGCCATCAAAGTCCTGAACAAATTCTCGCAGTGCTCTCCTGTTGGCTTGGGACTTGAGTCTATTGAACTGACATGGAATCTAATGATGGTGCAGGAAAGGAAGGGCCATCATTTTTCTCACGTACTTGTAGACGTCTTCATTCTGTTGGTACAAAGGCTGGAGACCAAGTTGTTGTATCTGGAAAAACAAAATAAAATGAAATTCTTCCCAAAAGCCTTTTTTTGCACCAGTTCAGTTTTACCTTTCTCCAAAGAGCCTGAGTGCAATGGAAGGCATAGCCCTTAAGCTTTACTTCTGGCATTACAGACTTTAGGGCTGCCCATAGAGCTTTCACAAAATCTAGAGTTGCATGTCATACGGATGGCTCCTCAGGCAAAAGCAATATTTTAATCCACAATGTCACAACTCTTTGGTATCATGGGTCACGCATTCAATATTATGATATACTTTTTTTGTCGTCTTTTTTTCTTCTTTTCCAACAGCACCACAAATACCAAGGAAAGCTGTTTTGCGTTGTTATTGGATTTGACAAAGGTATTTATGGTAAAAAGTTGTGTAAATGGCCAATGGACAACTTTAAAAGTACTATCTATGTACCAGGTCTTGGCAGCTGACAGCATCCGCAGCTGGGCATTTGAGACAAACGAGTGCCTACAATATCTTACTTAAATGTCGGCTTGTAGGAATTCCTGAGGAATGGCTTGCAGATCCAACATGAAATCCAAATCTTTGTGGTAATTTGGTCTTAGGTTTTTTTATTAGACGATTCACTGCATGGGCAATGTTTTCCGATACAGGGAGGGCTTCTCATGGACTGTCGGTTAACTCATTAGAACCTAGAGACAAAGAAAGAAAGAAAGAAAAAAGAGGAAAATGAGCTATGTGTTTACTTGGAGGCTGATATAAGTAAAGCAAAGTTATACCTCTTCCACAATTCTAAGAAACACAGCAAGTCTTAATATTTACTGATTCTCTTCATTTAACATTTTCCTTTAAAATCGACCAGGAATTTCAAGCTTGGGCTGCCTGTGTTTTCACAATATGCAAGACACCATGCAGACTGATTTCATCGTAAGATTTCGATTCATCACAGGAAGTCAAAGTTAGAGAAAGAACACGCACTTATTTAGCTACAGATACCGATGTATTGCCACTGTTCCTCCCTGGTAACGAAAGAATGAGACCTCAGGGTGCACAAAGATGCTACAAGAAATAATCCGGAGGAGAAAACCAAGACATCACAAAAAAAAACAGCTCTTATTAAGGCCACATTATGATAGGAGTTTTATTGTAAAATGATTTTTTGAAAGCCGTCCACCCCCTTCAGGGGTGAACCACGAAAAGGACAGATTGCTACGAAGGCATCACGTCCATGGGGTATAGGGGCTGTTGACCAGAATCTGTAAAAAAGGAATGTCAACAATGTAAGTATATATATAAATTCTAAGTATAAATGCAATAGATGTAAAAGATAAAAAAAGATAAGGATTTCTTCTTGGGGATTTACAAGGGTATTCCATAGTTACCGGACTGTGGCCTCTGAGTCATTTCATTTTTGTATATATAAATATATATACCTATCAACTTGTCTAATAAATTTTCTCCTTTGACTGGTTTTACCAGACTACTTGAACATTGTAGGGACAACGCCAGCTTTAAGAAGTCTTTTTCCTGAGTAGTTTGGAGGACGGTAAACACTGTCTTAGAAATGTTTTGAGCAAACCCTCATGCTGTGTGTTATCTAAAAAGAGAACAAAACTATTATCTTACTGAAGAAAGCAAAGACCAGTTTTTCATATTTACCTTGAAATAGGGTCCTTCGTATTTCTTACTTTTGTAATGCAGGCACTTCTTAGTGTTGCATCTTTAGGAAACGGATAAAAAGAAAGTGTTGGGTTGTAGCGGGCATCCCCATTACACAGAAGAACACTGCGGTGAAACTGTGTTTTGTGAAACTGTGACTGGTTTTACCAGACTACTTGAACATTGTAGGGACGACGCCAGCTTTAAGAAGTCTTTTTCCTGAGTAGTTTGAAGGACGGTAAACACTGTCTTAGAAATGTTTTGAGCAAACCCTCATGGTGTGAGTGAGTGAGTGAGTGAGTGATACTTTATTTATACTCGAAAAAAAATTCTATCAATATAAAAATTGCTTTACAAGAATGTCGAGTTAAATAAGAATACAATTTAGACAGCTAAAAAAGTTTATGAGAGTCCAACAGAAGAAAGCTTTCTTTTAAATTCMCTTATACTTCTAGCTGACTTAATATCTGAAGGCAAAGAGTTCCATGCTTTTGCACCTTCATAGGAGAACGCACGTTTGAGGTACTCAGTGTTTGGTTTCGATAATTTTAAACACTTTTCTCCCTTCTGCAAATTATATTTTGTAGTTTGATACTCAAAGCGGTCTCTTAAACTTTGAGGTGCAAGAGCATTCAAAGTCTTGTACATTATTGTGGCTTTATGTTTCTTCCGCCTGTTTTGAAGATTTTCCCATCCTAGAGACATTAAAATGTCGCGCGACCTAGTTTCATAATTACTCTGAGTTATAATTCGGCCTGCGCGATTTTGCATTTTTTGGAGTCTGTCAGCTGATGTTTTTGGTAAATTATCCCAAACCACATCGCAGTAGTCAAACCAAGGAGTTATCAGCGAATTATATATTGCAATCGCCGTCTCCTGGGGGACGTAATCACGAACCTGTCTAAGG